GGGAAAACCAAACATCGACAGGACACAGGCATCCCAACGTTTAGTGCTGCTCTGTTTACAAGAGCCTTGACTTGGATACAACCTAAATGTCCTTGGAAGGAAAAAATGGATAAAGAAGATGTGGTACTTATGTATGATGGAATATTACTCAGTCATGAAATCAATGAAATAAGGCCAGTTGCAGCAACTTGGGTGGACTTAGGTACGATCATTCTAAGTGACATAAGTCAGACAGAAAAAGAGACATCATAAGTTATCACTTATAGGTGGAATCTAAAAATGGCTACATGTGAACTAAATTACAAAACAGAAACAGAGTCACACATTTAGGGTTTCCCTGTTGGCGCAGTGGTTAAGAATCCGCCAGCCAATGCAGGGGACACAGGTTCGAGCCCTGGTCCGGGAAGATCCCACATGCCGCGGAGCAACTAAGCCCGTGCGCCACAAATACTGAGCCTGCACTCTAGAGCTCGTGAGCCACAACTACTGATCCCACGTGCCACAACTACTGAAGCCTGCACGCCTAGAGCCCATGCTCTGCAACAAGAGAAGCCACTGCAAGCCTGTACACTGCTACGAAGAGTAGCCCCCGCTTGCCACAATTAGAGAAAGCCTGCGTGCAGCAACGAAGACCAAACGCAGGCAAAAATAAATAAATAAAATAAGTAAATTTATATATATATAAAAAAAAAACCCAAAAAACTCCAAGAAAGTAACAGGAGAGTATATTCATGACTAGGGATAAGGTAAGACTTGTTACACAGCACTATATATAGATCTTCTGATCATCAAGCTTTAACAATAAAAGGATGTAAAGGCAATCCACAGAGTGGGGGAAGACATTTACTGTACATTTAACTCACAAAGGGTTCATAACCAAAATATATAAAGAACTATAAATCAGTAAGAAAAAGACAACTCAATAGAAAAAGAGGCAAGAGACTTGAACAAGTACTCCATACAAGAAGATATCAAAATAATCAATAAAATATAGAAAGATGCTCAATCTCAGTGCTGGTCAGGGACATGCAAATTAAAACCACAATGAAATATTACTACACATCCTACTACATCCATTAGGATGGCTAAAATTTTTAAATCTGACAGTACCAAATGTGGACAAGGATATAAGACAAAGGGAATTTTCATACAGTCTTGGTGAGAGATTAAATTAGTAGAACCACTTCTGAAAACAGCTAGAAACAATAGGTACACTCATTACTACTGATGAGGGTAAACTAGTTAAAACCACCTTGGAAAACAATTTGGCATTATTTATGAAAGTTAAAGATATATATACAAACTCTATGACCTAGAACTCCACTCATAGATACATATGCCCAATAATAATAAGTGCATTTGTTCACTGCAGCATTCTTTGTAAGAGCCCCAAACTGTAAACAACCCAAAAGTCCATCAATATTAGAACGGATGAATAAATCATGATATATTTACACAATGGACATATGGCAATGAAGCACAGTCACACACAACATGGGTAAATCTCACAAACGTAATGTTGAACAAAAGAAGCCAGACACAAAATACACACACGATAGTTTCATTTACATTAAATTTAAAAAGCAGACAAAACTCGGGCTTCCCTGGTGGCGCAGTGGTTGAGAGTCCGCCTGCCAATGCAGGAGACACGGGTTCGTGCCCCGGTCTGGGAAGATCCCACATGCTGCGGAGCGGCTGGGCCCGTGAGCCATGGCCGCTGAGCCTGCGCGTCCGGAGCCTGTGCTCCGCAATGGGAGAGGCCACAACAGTGAGAGGCCCGCATACCTCCCCCCACAAAAAAAAGCAGACAAAACTCAATTATCGTGCCTAGGCATGCATTTTTTTTTTACATCTTTATTGGAGTATAATTGCTTTACAATGGTGTGCTAGGACATGCATGTTTAAGTAGTAAAAGTATAAAGAAAAACACGAAAGTAAATACCATAAAATCAGGATAATAGTAACCCTTGGTGGGAGAACAGTGATTACTAGGGGTCACAAGGGGAGCTTCTGGGGTACTAGCAAATTCTGTTTCTTGACCTAGTTTCCAGTTACACAGCTGTTCTCTTTAGTGAAATCATTTAGCTCTTTGTTTTTGTTTCAGGCACTTTTCTTTTTTTTTTTTTGCGGTACGCGGGCCTCTCACTGTTGTGGCCTCTCCCGCTGCGGAGCACAGTCTCCGGACGCGCAGGCTCAGCGGCCATGGCTCACGGGCCCAGCCGCTCCGTGGCATGTGGGATCTTCCCGGACCGGGGCATGAACCCGTGTCCCCTGCATTGGCAGGCGGACTCTCAACCACTGTGCCACAAGGGAAGCCCAGGCACTTTTCTTGATGTGTTTTATTTCACAATAAAAAAAGATTAAAAAAAAAAAAGACTCAAGGGGTAAGTTAAATAGCAGATTACACAAAACTAAGGAAAGAAAAAGGGAACTATAAAAGAGACCTGAAGAAATTGTACAGAATGAATCCCGAGAGAGTAAGATACATTAAATATAAAAGAGATTACCAGACATGTAGGAGAGCAGAAAAAGTTCAGAATATAGCTGATTTAATTCCAGCAAGAAAGAAGAAGGAAAAAAAAAAGGAAGAAGAAGAAGGTGAAAGAGGAGGGGTAGGAAGAAGAGAAGGAGGAGGAGAAGAAAAAACAGGGTAAAGGCAATCTTCAAAGAGAATTTAAAAATTGATATGATACCAATCCTTACATCCAGGATATCTCTCAGAATCCCAAACAGGAAATACAGTAAGATAACACTACTAGTCTCATGACAGCGAATCTTCAGAACCAGCAACTCAAAAAGATCTTAAAAGGAGCTACCAAAAATTAGATTACCTATAAAGAATCAACATTTACACTCATAGTTATTTTCAACAGCAACAATGGAAGCCAGAAGAAAGTGGAATGCAATCTTGAAAATGGTAAGTTGCTAAACTAGAATTTCATATCCAGCGAAAATATCTTCAAAGATCAAAAGCAAAATAAAGACACTTTCAAAACAATAATAAGTTTACTATCAATGACCCCTCAAGAAATGAACTTCTAAAGGACAACCTTAAAGAGAATATGCCAGAAAGTTCTGAGATATAAGGAAAGATGAGCAAAGAAAAAGGTAAACACTTTGGTAAATTGAAATGAATACTGACTGTGTAAAACAAGAACAAAAACAATAACTAAGCAAATACTTACACAAAAGTGAATGAAAGAGAAAACAAATCAGAAATGGAAGAATGAAAAGAAGGAGGATGGATGAAAGTTCTTCTGTGGCAGCAATCAGAGAAATGCAATCACACCTGAAGGGAATGTGGCATCAGAAGAAGTTCAATACATTCCAAAGCCATAAGGAACTGGGTTTTGGATTATTTGCCACTTAAACGTACTCTGCTACAGTGATTAAACATATTATTATTAAATCGATTGCATTACTATTCACTTCAGACTACCCTGTTGTTGCTGCAGTTATACTTCACTTGGTAGGATAATCAAGGTGTTTGGCAAATGTGAATTTTCCTAATCTACTAAAGCTCACTGTTTACTAATGTTTTCTTCTATGGTTGTTGGTGTAAATATGTCTAAAATGATATAGAAATATGTTTATTTCTAAAATGATATAATTCTTATACACAATAAACAAAAGGTGCCCAATCCTTTCCTGATGGCCCAAGGTCATTGGTATAAACTACTACTGCTATTGCTGATATAAAGAAATACCCTCGAGAACTCCCTGGCGGTCCAGTGGCTAAGACGCCACACTTTCAAGCAGAGGGCACAGGTTCAATCCCTGGTCAGAGAACTAAGATCCCGCAAGCCGTGCAGCGCACGGCCAAAAAAGAAAAAAAAGAAATACCCTCAGTAGCTCCTTAAGGCCTTATGTGACTACTAAACCTTGCCCACACTGTCAGGTGTTCTCTTCTTGGTCATCATTGTACTGGCATCTTTAGTTCCTCCTACCAACCTGTGATCTGATTTTGTGGCAGCAATTCTGCTTAGGGCCTCTTTCGATTACACTTCCTGACTCTTGACTGTATTCCAGATACCCAGAAGACATAGATCACAGAATTTTGGCAAGGTATTATGCTGAATTAATAAGAGATGATAACTGTGACTTATTTATATTTTGTAGTATCTTCTGTTGCAAGGAGATTAAAGTTCACTCTGTGAGTCAGAATGACAGAAGAGTAGATGTACCATATTATCCTCATCACAACTATGTAACAACTCCCCCAAAGTAATAGCTATTAGAAAAATTAACCGATGGCTAAGGAAAACCAGATCAAATGCTGGTTACTAGCTTCATAGCCTTGGGCAAGTAACTAAACCTTTTAACACTTCCTATCTGTAAAGAAATAATAACAGTATCTTCCTACGAATGATTATTGTCAAAATTAAATGAGATAATGAAAAAAAAAAACAACATAATACCTGGCTTAGAGTAAATAGTGTCTAGCATTTAAACTATTATCTTTTTAAATCCCAATTTGTGTAATAAACACATATTTAACTAGACCTCCTTAACTATCTTCTCCATGGCATCCTATGAAAATACTATTAAAAATATTAACAGTAGCTAATATATAATGAGCAATTACTCTCTGTTAAAATTGTGCTGAAGTCTATACAGGGATTATCTATTTGAATCCTTAAAAAAGCTCTGGGTGGTAGATACCATTACACACACACACACACACACACACACACACACACACACACACACACACACACTGCTACAGATAAGTACACTGAGGCTCAAAGAGGTTAAGTACTTGTTCAAGTTCACAGAATAAGTGGTGAAAATGGACTCATGTAGCTCAGACTCCAGAATCCATGATTATAAGCACTCCCCTATCCTGAGAAGAGAAGCCGCTTCTCCTTCTGCTAAAATCTATTTACAAATAAGTTGAGCACAAGCTAATTCTCCTTTAATCTTACCCTCTATTTGACTATTCAAGGTCCCTAGCTGGAAAAGCAGAAAAGATACGTTTCGTTTTTTGCCTTTTAACTTACCCACTCACAGTCGATTCCAAGCACTGGAAAATCTTCTAACTCACTCCTAAGCAAGGGCTCAATTTGATCCCACTCTGCCTCCTGAGACACAGTCGCCACCTTTGCTCTAAGGATCCTCTCTTCCCACGAGGCTCTGGGGGCACTGGAGTGCTGCTGGTCCTCTGCTGGAGTGGGCCGCTCTCTCCTGCCTGGCGCTTTCGGCTGCTGCTGTGACAGCTGCTGCTGGGTCACACGACTTGCTTTACTCCTCCGACGCTGGATGCCTTTCCACAGGACAAACCCTCCGACAGCCATACCAAGAAGGGTGGTCACTGTCAAAGCCACTAAGTGTTTAGACATCTTCAACTTTTCTGTTGTTTAGGAAAGCATATCACTAATCCCACAATCTGCAAAACAAATGGCAACAATATATTCACATATAGAATTTAAAGGTCCACGGATACAAGTCCCCCCCAACCCCACAAAAAACGTTGCATTCACAATCCATGTGCTCACAAACTAAAACAATTGCTACAAATTTCCACATGAAACAGTGATATTTTAAAATATTTTCCCCCTTTTGTATGTCCTGTACTCCACCTCTAGCTCCATCCAAGAAAAACCCCCTGCCCTCTACCAGTTGCCCAGGGCTCTCTTAATCCTATAAAATCACATCAATCAAAACAGAATAAACTAGACTCTTACTTCCACTTGCTGATTTATTGTGAGTAAATTTTAGTTAATGGATCTTCCTCAGGGTGTTTGCGTTTGAACCTTCAATCTCTAAGAGTTGAATGGAAACTTCTGCTTTGCAATTTAAAAAAAATCTAGGGCTTCCTTGGTGGTGCAGTGGTTAAGAGTCTGCCTGCCAATGCAGGGACATGGGTTCGAGCCCTGGTCCGGGAAGATCCCACATGCTGCGGAGCAACTGGGCCCGTGTGCCACAACTACTGAGCCTGCAAACCTAGAGCCCGTGCTCCACAACAAAGAGAAGGCACCACAATGAGAAGCCCTCGCACCGCAACGAACAGTAGCCCCTGCTCGCCACAACTAGAGAAAGCCCGTGCGCAGCAACAAAGACCCAACGCTGACAAAAATAAATAAATAAAAATTTTAAAAAATCTAATCATCTGCAACTGGTAGGGGGACTTTTACTTTTCTAGGAGGCGTGGCTGGTGAGGGATGGAGCAATCAGGCTTGAGTGCACATGGATTTTCCGTTGCTCCAGAGGTCTCGGTAGTTCTCCGTGGAAACACACTCAGTTATTGAGGGTAAGCTAGGACAGTACAAAAGGGAAGACAGGACTAGAAAAGAAAAAGAACAGAACTTAGAGAGCCAGGATGTTCAGGAGGAGGTTGCAAATTGAAATGTCCACAGGGTCCAAACAGGATAACACAAATAAGTGAAGCAAGCCAAGTGCAAGAGAAAACTGACACAGACATCCTATTAAATATGTAGGAACTGTCTTCCTTTCTATCACAAAATAGCCTCTTTTCCATTTTCTGTACGTGAAATAAAACTCATATTTTATGGCAAGACAAGAAAAATTTAAACAAAAAATTTTTTTCTATCCTTTGGTCTCCTCTCTCCTCCCACTGTGCACTGTGTATCTACATTATGCATTAACCTAACCTTCCCCATTGAGAGAAATACCTGCTCAACCATAAAGAGCAATATTCTAGCATCAGTAAGACAACTCCTTAAAGATGCCATTCCTTCTTGATCTCATAAGGGGTCACATGGCACTTAGATCTGGATCATGTAAACTGCCAATAATACAGCATTTGATGTACGGCCTCTGTCTCAAAAAACTTATATAACTGCGCCTTGACTTCTAAGGGAAGGAACAGGTCTCAGAGCTTTCTGAGATGCTCTTCCTGGGTTATAATCCTCAAATTTGGCTCAAATAAAATCTTCCATTTCTTTCTCAGACCAACTGATTAATTTTTTCATCAATGCTTATTACAATGTGGTTTTTCTCCATCTATCTCTTGTTTTCCTATTTTTGACAGAAAAATAGGCATATACAACTATCTCTGTACTATTTTAAAAGACAACAGTAAATGTGTAACAATAAATGGTAAGTGGCCTTTGGCCTCAATAATGGAGACAAAACATGGGAGAGCAACCATTCAGCACAAGGTGTTCATCCTGTTTGTGAAGAAGGCCCAGTGTGGTCAGATTATCCTGATTACTCAAGAAAAGTTAGATATCTGAATTTTATGTGAAATATCACCATTTTTAAGTGTTGGCAACAAATTTAGAGTCTTTGAAACATTGTGCCAGCCAAATAAAAACATTTTGGGCTCCGGGTTACCCATCTGTAGGCTCTGACCTAAAATCTATACTGCCCAAAGACACAGTGACCTATTAGACCCTGCCTACACTTCTCTATGGCTGAGGGTTTCCCATTTAATGGGAATTCCTTTTTTTTTTTTTTTTTTGGACATGCTGTGGGGCATGTGGGATCTTAGTTCCCTGACCAGGGATTGAACCCAGGCCACAGTGGTGAAAGCTCGGGATCCTAACCAAGAGACTACCAGGGAACTCCCAATGTGCACTACTTTTATCAATTTTTAAAAGCGTCAACAACAAATTTTTAAAAATAATTTAATATTTACAACAACCCTGGGCTATAATTATGCCTACAGAGATATTCATCAATGGAGAGGAAAAATGGAATCACAACCATTATTACAGTACTAATGAAAACAATAAAAGGGCTATGCTGTTTTTAAAATATTTACTTTTTTGCAGAAACTATGCTTAAGTATTCATATGTACTTTCTCCAGCACTTTTATTGAAGAGGAAACTGAGACTTAATGAGTTTAAAGAACTTGCATAGAGAGATTTCTAGTTAAAATACTCTGAGAAGACATAAAAACCCTTCCCTTTCTCACTCTAAACAATACAAATGTTGGAGAAAACATTAAAAAGATAATAAGGGGCTTCTCTGGTGGCACAGTGGTTAAGACTCCGTGCTCCCAATGCAGAGGGCCCAGTCTCGATCCCTGGTCAGGGAACTAGATTCCACATGCTTGCTGCAACTGAGCACATGCCACAGCTAAGGAGCCAGCAGGCTGCAAGTAAGGAGCCCGCCTGCCACAACTAAAGAGCCCACATGACGCAACTAAGACCAAACCCAACCAAATAAATAAATATTTTTAAAAAAGATAATAAAAGTTTAATACACAGTTAAACTTAAAAAGAAGAAAGGGAAATCATCAAGTGTCAGAAATGGAAGAAGGGAACCCACAGTGGGTAGGAGATAAAGCTGGGCAGAGACCAGAACTCATACCAGCCCCAATGCTGGAGAATATCACCAGCCCAGGGACAGAAGTCTAGGCCACAGGCCCAGGGCACAGTGGAGATGCAGGAGAGTGTTGCCTTGTCCATGAACAAGAACCTGTTAAGTGTTCACCTACTATGGTCCAGGCAAGACATCTGCCCAAGGCTGAGAATATGAACACAGTCCCTTGAAGATCGGCCAAAGTGGTGGAGTAGAAAGACCCTGAGCTCACTTCCTCTCACAACCACACCAAAACCACAACTATCTGCAGAACAACCATCTATGAAAAAGACCAAAACCTCCCAGAAAAGATCGTCTACAACTAAAGACACAAAGAAGGAACCACAAGATGAGTAGGAGGGGACATGATATAATCAAGTCCCATACTCCCAGGTGGGCAATACACAAACTGGAGAATAATTATAGTGCAGACGTGGGAATTCCCTGGTGGTCCAGTTGTTAGGACTCCACTCTTTCACTGCTAAGGGTGTGGGTTTGATCCCTGGTCACAGAACTAAGATTCTACAAGCCATGTGGTCAAAAAAAAAAAAAAGTTATAGTGCAGAAGTTCTCCCACAGAAATGAGAGTTCTGAGCCCCACGTTAGGCTCCCCAGCCTGGGGGTCCTGCAGCAGGAAGACTAGCCCCCAGATCATTTGGCTTTGAAGGCCAGCCGGGCTTAATTTCAGGAAGGACTGTGGGAAATACAACTTCACTCTTAAAGGGCACACACAAGATCTTACATGCACCGGGACTCAGGGCAAAAGCAGTAACTTGATAGGAGTCTGAGTCAAACCTACCTGCTGGCCTTGGAGAGGTGGGGAGCCGGCCTTAGCTGACAACAGCTACATTTGGCAGCTCAGTCACATTTGGAAGCCAGTGCTGGTGGGCGTGATCTTGGGCTCCTCCCTCTAGCCATTACAGCCAAGACCTAGCCCCATCCAATAGTCTGTAGGCAGCAGTGCTGGGATGCCGCAGGCCAAACAACTAACCGAGTGTGGACACAGCCCCACCCATAAGCAGACAGGCTTCCTAAAGTCCTCCTGAGCCTACAGCCTCCTCTAGACACTCCTCTAGACAGGACCTTGCCCACCAGAGGGCCAAGACCCAGCTCCAGCCACCAGTGGGCAGACAGTGGCCCTGCCCTCCAGGAAGCCTGCACTAGCCTCTAGACCAGCCTCAGCCACCAGGGGACAGACACCAGACACAAGAAAACCACAATCCCACAGCCTGTGGACCTAGCCTGCCCACAGCAGGCTAGAACCTACCCTGGGACCAGCTGGGCCCTGGCCCTGTGCACTAGCAGGCCAACACAAGCTTCGGGACACTCCAGACCCCATACCAACTGTGTCAGGAATTACCACCTCCCTGCCAACCAATGATCTAAAACAAGCTCTGTGGGCTTCCCTGGTGGCACAGTGGTTGAGAGTCCGCCTGCTGATGCAGGGTACATGGGTTCGTGCCCCAGTCCAGGAAGATCCCACATGCCGTGGAGCGGCTGGGCCCGTGAGACGTGGCTGCTGAGCCTGCGCGTCCAGAGCCTGTGCTCCGCAACGGGAGAGGCCACAACAGTGAGAGGCCCGCGTACGGAAAAAAAAAAAAAAAAAAAAAAGCCCTGGGATCCCTGGACCCTGCAGCCAGACTCCAGGAACTGGCTCTGCCTGCCAGTAGTCCAACAGTAACCTCAGGGCCTGGCTTCACTCGCCAGTGGGCAGGCAACAGCCCCAGAGTCCTCCGGACCCTGACTCTACCCACCAGTGGAGCCCGCTCTAGCCCCAGGACTTCCTAGGGTTCTGAAGCCAGTCACCTTGTTACCAGGCCCTCTTAACAGCACCCAGCAGCAACCATACAAGGCAGGACCTGGCAACCAACCGGACTAGGGACCGACCAGGCTTACCAGACCACCCACACAGTCAGCCCACCACAACAGAAGGACCCACCCAGCCCTCTTAACGGGAACCCCTAGAGCATATAGCTTGGGTGATGAGACAGGAGCTCACTGCTGGGACACACAGGACATCTCCTACAGAAGGACACTTCTTCAAGATGAAGAAATGTAACTAATCTACCACATACATAAAAATAAAAATAGCAACTTAGACAAAATGAGGCAGCAGA